GGGGCTCAGATAGTGAAACGAGCCAGCCTGAAAAGGGGGAAGCAGTGACTCCTCACATGGCCTCTTGTGAGGTAACCCCACCTTTGCTCTCCCTTCTGCCCCAGCTCCCCAAGCCGCTGCCTGCACTGAGCTGCTGGTCATGCACATCCTCCTGGGGAAAGCGTGAGAGGGCTGTTCCCAGCCCGCGGCTGGGGAGAGGGGTTGTGGTGCTGCAGCAGAACGCAGAGGGTGGCCAGCGGTGTCACCCTGCTGCTGACCTGGTCCCAGGGCCTGGGTGCACATGGCAGGGGGTGCCCCGCTCTGCAGCGATGCCTGGGCCACGGGCTGCTGCTGCGGTCACGGCACCCTGGGTCCTTGGGGCAATGGTTCCCAGTGACAGGGCCACGGGGTTGTTACTGCTCGTTACACTGGGCTACAGTGTAGGGATGAGCTTTGTCCAAAACCGCTCCTGGGAGTGGATGAGGTCTGAGCAGAGCTGTCCCCTTCATCCCCAAGCTCTAACTGCAGCCTTGGAGCCTGGTGGCCCCACGTCCCCTTGCCCGGGGGTGCAGCCAGGAGCCATCTGAGAGGTGTCGCAGTTCTGCTGGGCTGTGTCCTGCTGCCTCTGCTGGCAGCATTCCTGCTGGGAGAGGCCAGCGGCTGCCACTGCCAGCTACCATCGCGGCGGGAGAGGGCGGCAGTGAGGTCTCTGCAGCGCCCGTGGCCAGGAAAGGGGGTGCCAGGGCAGGATCTGCTGGTGGGCAGCAGGGTAGCAGGGGTGCAGGAGTGGCGGGGTGCAGGAACATGATGCTTGTAGGGGTTGGGGGCAAATATGCTTTGACCCAGGACATTTCTTGCATTGATCCCCTCTCTAAGCAGTGGATCACCCCTTGAGTCCTGTGTGCCCCCCGACTTCCCTGCCGGGTGGGACTAGAGCAGGCTGAAGGCAGGGTGCTCGGCACAGCGCGCTTGGACCCAGCTGCATTATTGTTGTCTGCACACTTGCTGCTGGGCTGCGCAGCTCTTGGGGAACGGTGCTGCACATGTGTTCTCTGGACTGAGGAGGAGCTGTCAAGCAGAGGCAGTCGGTCCTCTGGCCTCTGCTGTACGTGCATGGCTTTGTCTGTCTGCCTGTCCTGCGGCTTCCTGCTCTCTCCACTCTGTTAGTGGGCTGTCTGTGGGTGCATGATGGTCAAGAGGCTCGTGCTTGTGGACACACGTTCATGCAGACTGTGTCCTCACTCCTTCTGCCTGCCCCACTCCCTGGACAGCCTCAGGGTCTCCCTCTTTCTGGGGCGCTGCTCCTGCTGCTTTGCTCTTGCTGGTTCCCGTAGTGTGCTGAATTGGCCCAGGGGAACGGGCCCATTAGGAATGTTGGGGTCCTACCCGCTGCTGCGAGGGTGAGGTGCAGTCGGTCACCTTAGTTGAGGCCTGGGGGCTCAGGGCTGGCCACCTCTATCCCAGAGCCTACAGCAGCCCTCCCAGCTCCTTCCCAGTGCCACGCTGCCTTTGGTGCAGCTCAGTCCCTGCTTTTTGCTGCTCTCAGCAGCTGGGACAGCACCAGCAATGACATCTATGCCATTGCTGCTGGTTCCAGGTAGGACACTTATTGGTGCTCTGTCACTGTCTCTCTGACAGCCCCCAAAACTTGTGGTATCTGGGCAGGATGGGTGCACGTGGGTCAAGCACTGGGTGCAGAAGGGGCTGGGGCTGCGTGTACCTGGCTGCCCCCACCCTTTCTCCTGGCCACCATGAATGTCCAGTAATTCCATATCTCTCTCTCTCTCCAGGATCTCACCTCAACACCAAACCACTGAACTCCACACACGTTCTGACACATACCTGAGAAGAGAGGAGAGGGAAGCAGAGAGTGGAAGGGAGCAGGGCTGGCTGTACATGTTTCTATAGGCTAATGGCATGATTTCTGTATGAGACATACTTACCGTCCTATCCGCATGACTGACTGACTGCAAGACGCATGAGCTACAGTACTTAAAACCGACGGAGGGGCCTCCGTCCCTGCCCCACTGCTGCCAGGAGCCCAGCAACAGCAGCATGCGCCAGGGGCATCCTCTCAGCAACTCTGGGAGGCAAAAGCTGGACTAGCAGAAAATGAGAAGGAAGGAGATGTCACCCTCGTGCGTTTGCGTGTCTGAATGCATCCCCACACCCGTGCTCCAGCTGCAAGAGGGAAGCCGGGGCAGCGTGGCTCCGCTCACCATGGAAGGAGAGCGGCCCAACCCCTCATCGCCCATGCTGCCCTCCGCTGGACTCACCTCTCCTCCCTCTCTGTGAGTGCTGGGTTGCGGGGAGGGCAGCAGTTGCCAGGGGTGTGCGGGGTGGGGGTTTCAGGGAGCACAATGGCCCTGGGCAGAGGGGCTGGCACGGGGCGGCCCTTCCTCTCCCCAGCACGTGCAGTGTCTCCCGCCCGGGCAGGGCTCTGGGCTGAGCACTGAGCTCGATGCTTGTGTTGAAAGTGTAAACTGTACAGCAATCAGCCTTGTGTATATGAACCAATAAATACTATGCAAACCCCTAGGGACACTCTAGCAGTATGTACAAAGCACTAACAGCTCTGCTCCCAAATACCTCTTCAGGCTGCAGGACGGGCAAGACCTTTGGAGAAGGTGAGCAGCTCTGGTGAATGGAGCTGGGAGGCTGTAGGAGGAGAAGGGCAGCAAACTGCCCGGTGCCCCTCCGGCTGAGCCTGGTCCCTCCTGGCCTGAAGAGGGTCCCACAGGTGCAGTCCCAGGGGCCTGTCCGTGGCGCAAGCCCCGGTTTGGGTTAGATCCCGCTGGGGTGAAGCTGTAAGGCCTGCGCTGAGGTGCTTGGGGCCCAGGGATGGTGGGTAGTGAGACAGAGCAGGGGACACTTGTGCCACACACGGGGTCGTGCCTAGGTCTACTCAGCACAAAATCTGCTCAGGAGATGAGCCAGGAGATGAGCCAGGAGCTGGCAGAAGCCAGCAGCCCTGCATGACGCACCCCACAAAAGGGCTTTGCAGGGTCCCCTGCCGTCCCTCCGGGGGCACAAATGGGTGTAGCCCATAGTTCCCATGGATGCTGACCCTCCCAGGACCAGCCCCAGAGACGTGGGGGGCTGCTGCCCCAGTGGCTGCTCTGTGGCCAGGTGACCGGGCCCCGCTGCAGCAGCCTGGCCCAAGCAGTCACCCTGGGAGCCAGGGCAGCCCTGGGGCCAGCTGCCCGAGCAGGAGGCCAGCGATGGGTAGAGCCACCCAGGCACCGCTGAGGTGTGCAGTGGGTTGAGTCTGCTGCAAAACTTCACCCCAGGAGGGCCAGATGCAGGCAGTGGCAGTAGGTCCCATGTCCCCAAGTCTGTCCTTTTCCTAACCAACATGGGGGCCTGCTCCTTGTAGCACAGTGGTGTGGGGACACCCTGCTCTTTCCCCTGGAGGTGGCCATGGACTTGTTTTGCAGGGCCTGAGTTTGCTCTCTGTGGCCATATGCAGGACGAGCCCACCTCCAGCTTCAGGCTGGTGGCCCCGGCCTGTGTCTGCCAGGACAGCCCCCGGCTCCCCTGCGGGTGGGAAGATGCCTCACTGCAGCGAAGCAACTGACCCAGCTTAGCCTCGGAGAGCAAAGCGACCCCTTCCCACCCCAAAGTTGAGCCATATAGGCACAGGCTCTCCATCCATCACCCTTGCTGTGTACAATAACCTCCCTAGACCCAGCTGACTCCGTAGCATCACCGTAGAGTTGTGTGTGGGTCCTGTGCTTTGGCCTTGTCTACGCCTTAGGGAATGTGCTGTGCTGCAACCGTGCCAGGCACCTGCAGTGACATTGCTTTGCGCTCGGATTGCTCGTAGGGCTGGTAGGGGAGGCTGCACCCAACATTGAGCCTAGAGAATGCTGCAGTCTGCACACTAGAAGCTTTTTAGAAATTTTAAAAATTACTTTTATTTCCTTTTTTTAATTGTTATGGAAACAAGCCTTTTGGATCTCCCTGTCTTAGCCCCTGATGTATAGATCATTTCCCTGTACACCAGCTATCAGACTATGAATTAATAAAGAAACTGACACAGACCCTGTCTCGTCTCTGCTTTTCCAAGGGCGTGGAGAAGGCTGAGCCTCGGGGTGGGTGGCCGGCGGGGTCCCCTCTGCCCGTGCCCCGTTGCCAGGAGGGCGGGGGGCGGTCGTAGGGGCTGGCAGCCGTAGGAGGGCGCAGACCCCCGTGCAGGTCCCGGGGCTGATCCCACCGGGCTCTCCCGGCCGATCAGCCGGTGCTACCGGCGCCCCGGGCCGGCGGGGGGAGGGTCTCCCAACCGCACCGGCGCTGCCGTACCCCACCCGCGGGTACCCCGCATCCCCCGGCCCGCCCCATCCCCGTGCCGCGTCCCGCCGCATCCCGGCCCGGCCGCCCTGTCCAGCGGCCCCGCCGCCCGTTCCCCGTCCCGTCCCACCGC